CAACGCCGCCTCACGCCCCGAGAGTTTGCACACAGCCCGCAGCCACTGACTTCGTGCCCCAGAGCAAGAGTCTGATTCCACGGCGGCAGGGCCTGGGGGTCCAGCCACGCGGCAGGGAGGGGAGGAGGGCCTGCAGCTCCCGGCGTTGCCAGACGGTCCCGCTGTCTTGCACACGCACACGCGTACACACACCCGAGCTGGCTCTGTGCACCAGGCTGCACAGGAGACAGGTGCACGGGAGACAGGTGCAGGCCGGCGTGGGCGCAGGCAGGGTGGGCCCCTCCGGGCCCCCCTGCAGGACTCTGGGGCCTGACTCCTCTCCAGCCCAGTCTCGACTCGCGCTTCCCTGAGGATCCCCGCAGGCGTTTCTACAGCCGGGGATCTCGTTCAGGCTGAGCCAGGGACCCTCCGTGAACGCAGGGTGGGGGCCGGGTGGGGGCTCAAAGCAAGACATGCTCCGGAGAAGTCTGACTGGGCGGGCTCAGGGCAGATGAGAGGGGGCGCCAGGCCCCAAACCCTGTGAAATCACGGGCGTGTGAGGAGTGGGCCTTGCGTGTCCTCGGGGATCCAGCCCCACACACACGCTCAGGGCGCTCATTCCCCAACCGCCTCCAGCTCCCAGCGGGCGACTGCGCAGCGGCAGGTCCCCGGGAGGCCTGGGCAGGCCCCACCCCCAGCCGGCCCCGCACCGCGGGCCATGCTTTGTCAGCACGCGAGAGGCGGCCGTGCCGTTTCGGGGTGAAACCTGGCTGGCCCCCTGGTCAGCACAAGCGCCTGCAGACTCATGTCCAGCCCTGGGAAGTCGCCCTGCCAGGCCTGCCGTGGCCAGGGGCGCCGGAGGCCCAGGGACCAGAGGGTCGTGCTCTTCCTCCAACCCCCATGCCCCCCACAGCCCCCACAGCTCCGGCTGCGCCGACAGCAGCTCAGCCCCGCTCCTGAACCCGCAAACCGCAAGAGAAGAGGAGGAAGGACCGAAGGGACATGACGGGCCGTGTCCCTGCCCCGCGCACAGCCCTGACCGCCCCCCCAAGGACCTGCCGGGGAGGGGCACTGAGTCCCGCCTGGCCCGAGGCAAGCCCGAGGTGCCCCCAGAGGCGCCCCCAGCCCAGCAGCCCCGAATCCCGCCCGCAGGCGGGCGTCGCTGCTCCTGTGCGCCATCAGCTGCGGCTGTGGGAGGACGCGTGTAGTCCTTGGGGTAAATTTAGATCGTGATGAGAGCTGTTCCTGCGGCCGCCGAGGCTGCCAGGAGAAAAACTAAGCAGAAATGCTCCGTGTCTGACACTGCGCAGAGGCTGCCCTCGGCGCGGGGCCCGGCCGGGTCCGTCCGCTTGCCCGCCGCTGCCCCCCTGGGCTCCAGGCTCTCTGGAATGAACACGGGGAGGAGCCCCGGACGCCCGGGGGCAGGCTCGAGCGAGCGGCGCTGGACGCCCTCGGGGAGTCCGGGCCCGCGCCAGGATGGACCAGGCGCCCTGGTCGCCCATGTCCACGCCGGGTGCGCAGGGCGGCCACTCCACCTTGTGGCCCTGGCCCACGGCCTCAGGCAGCTGCGGTCACTCACCCTGCGCTCTGGAAGGGCCTCGGGTCGTGACCTGGCCGCGGGGGGCTGTGGGCTCGCTGTCCAAGCTGACCTGAGACTCGGGCAGAACTTCCACAAGGACTGCAGACGGGGCGTCCCCCGATGGGAATGGGGCGCCCACCCCCGGGAAGCGCGCTCAGGTGTCCAGCGTGCGGCAGGGTGGGGCCGGCTTCAGGCTGCCCGACGGGCGGGCCGGACCGGCCTCCCATCCTGCTGTCCACACAGCCCCGCTGGGTTTCGCCTTCAACACCGTCGCATTTTTTAAAAAGCTTCAATAAGTTCAATGGCTTTTCCTAAGCAAGAATCAAAGATACCAGCACATTTTCCTTGGCACAAAACCGATGCTGCACTTTTTCCCGAGCAATGACGTTTGCAGCAGACTCTTCATCTTAGGTCCTGAGCCTCGGCCTCTGCATTTTGTCTGTGCTGTTACTGTCACCTTGTGTGTCTGCTGAAGTTTTGGGAGAAAGAAAAATTCATATTAGAGGTTAAAAAAACCCTGAGTTCCGGAGGAGGGGCTGTCGGCATCGCCCCATCCTGCCCTCCGTAGACCGGGAGGGGGCACCGGGGAGCGGGCAGCTGCCCGGCCAGAGGGGCCTCACCTGTGCCCGGGACAGAATCGCTTTGGGGCAAAGAGACCACTGGGATTTCATTTAAAGTTGCCCCTTCACGAAGAGACCCTAACAGTACTCATTTCCCGCCGGAGAGGAGGCCCCTACACTCTTCCTAGTTTTGTCTAGAACACTCTGTAGAGCGGCTTTCTCACAGGCCAGCCTCTGCAGGTGGCCGCTGGATTACTTCCTGGCAAAGCCGGAACCTTCTGGGAACGGCGAGGGTACCCCGACTCGCACAGCGAGGGGCGCGGGCCTCACAGACTTAAATCCCGGCCGGGGCGGGCCGGAGGACTTGCTGCCCAGGCAGGAGCAGGCCCGCGCGGGCAGGGGAGCAGGGGCCGGCATGCGTGCGGAGCCGTCTTCCCGGCCCTGCCAGCCCCAGCCCTCGCTTGGCCGCACGCTGGCAGGGCTGGGAGGGGATGGGGTGGGGGTGGGGGTGGGCGGCAGCAGCTCCACCTTTAGGGCTTGTGATGTTTATGATTCCTTGACAAGGGGCCAGAGCAGCCAGCGCTGCCGTGAGGAAGAATCCACAGGCCGGTTGAGTCAAGACACCTCATTTTATGCTCTGCGTATGCGTGAGTCCCTCTTCCCCTGCACTTTAGTTTACACGAGTTATTTAGACAGTCGTAGGAATCTTTGCTTTTTCCCTACAATCCTTTAAAAATTAAATTCACTCTCCTGCCCCAGTGGCCTGGCCTCCCGGCAAAGGCTACTGATCAGGGGTGCTGGCCAGTCCCTCGCCCCCACACATGCCCCCCAGAAGCCGCAGGCCCAGGCGTCCGCAGCAACGTGGAAGGAGGAGGAGTGCGCGGAGCCGCGCGCCCAGGACCGTCAGGTCAGCCGGCTCTGGCGCCTGAGCCCGGCCTGCGGGAGGGACGCCCCGGGCAGCAGACAGGGGCAGGCGGCCCGGGGCGGGGAAGGGCCAGGCGTCAGTGCACTTCCCGTGACCGGGACCTCGCCACGTCTTCTTTCATAGATGTAAGAAGCGCTGCGCTTGGGAGGCTGCGCTTCTATTTCAGAAAACAGTGAGAGACTTCCATTTCAACACCGATCCCGCTGCCCTTGGCTGGCGCTTCAGCCCACTTTGCCAGCGCTGGGCGGCCTCGCGCAGAGTGCAGGCGGGCACCCCAGACACCACTCCCCTCACCCCGCTCTCCTGGGAGCAACCGGGGAGCAGCGGAGCAGCCACATCACAGCCTGCGTCTATTCAGGGCATGACAAGGACAGCGACGTGGCTGGGACCTGGCTCAGCCAGAGGCGGGAGCCACAGCCTCAGCCATCAAAGCTCTGGGCGCCACTGGGGGTCAGCTGTGGGCGGCAGTGCTGGGCTGCAGCTGGACAGCGCTCCTCCCCATGGAGGCCAGCCCGCGGCCCCAGCCTCCTCCCGGCAGGATATGCACCTGCTGCCGGCACTACCTCCGCACCCTCCTGGGGAAGTGAGGGTGCGCCGGCAGCCGAGAAGGACCGGAGCACAAGCCGCCAGGAAGGATGAGACAAATGACGCGTCCACGCGCTGCCGCGGCCCCCCCAGGCTCAGATGCCGCCCAGGAGGGGGGTGCTGCTCGGGGTGACTGTGCCTGCCGGGAGCCGGAGCCCGGAGCGTGGGTGTGCAGATGCCTCCTGTGGCCACCGGCCCCGGGGGCAGGCCCTCAGGGAGGCCCAGAGGCGCCGACCAGCTCCTGCACTCGAGACCAGGCCTAACCCCCGCCCAGCCGCCCAGGGTGTGCCTCAAGGAGCAGCCGACACCCCCAGGGCAGGGGGTGGCCTCTGAGAAGACAGCACTGGTGCGGGAGCCCGACCTCCTCCCCAGGACCGAGGGCGCGGGGCACCCCGCCTGCCTGCACCGTGCAGCCCACCCCAGCCGTGCCCGCCCCGGGGGGCAGTGGTTCCCGGGGCTTTGCGGAGCCTTAAATCAACCACCCGGGGAGGGGCGGGCCCTGGCTGGGCTGGCGGAGCTCCGCCGCCCTGGAGAGGCCCCGAAGGTCTCCCGGTCGGCTTCCTTCAACCAGAGCCATCTGCACAACACTCTGCGTCTCTTTCCGGTTCCAGACCACAGACGCCGCCCTAGCGCACAACACTAACAGCGCCACGGCACAAATCAGGAGTGCGCGACCACAGGGTACAAACATTACCTTTTTATTGTACGGCTTTGATAACGTGAGATATTTACCCACAACTGCTTATAACGCTGTGAGTAATTACGGCGATGTTTGTCTGTAACGCGTCCCCAACTGTTGGGCTACAGACCGCACTGGAGAACAACTGTCCACATAGCAGCTACGAACATTGAAATAAAAAAAAAGGTTGTCACTGACAGGTACTTGCACACGAAAGCATGCAATCTTTCCCGAGAGCTTCACAACTTTGCCTGCATTGAAATAACCCACGTATTCATAGGAAACATATCTTGCTTGGAAAAAAATCACAGAGCCAGATGTATCCTGCCGAACAGCAGCGTCCTTCGCGCCGGGCCGAGGGGCCTCTGCCCGCGTCACCGCAGCCCCAGGAGCGCTTTGGGCGGAGGGCACCGCCGGGTCTCCCGGGAGGGGTCTAGAACCACTTCCAGCTGCTCGCTCGCTCACACCGGCCTCGCGTGCGCTCCCGGGGCGCGGCCTGCCTGGCGGGCTCCCAGGCCTTCTCACTCTGACTTAGGTTTACCGAAAAGGCTGCGGAGGTCTCAGAACAGTCAGGCTGGCGCAGATTGGGGGGCCCTGCTTGCGCGCCCCCTTCTGCGGCTGGGGAGCGAGGTCCCGCTGAGGGAGAGGGAGGGCCGGGCGGTGCCGGAGGAGCCGGGCCGGTGGGGCCGCCCGCTAGTTAATGCCGATCTCCTTGCTGTCCTCGATGAACCTGGTGAAGGGCCGGCCGGCGCCTGGCTCCGAGGCGGCTTTGTCCAGGCCGGCGGCCGGCGGGCTGCTGCCGCTGCGTGCTTTGTCCATCCCCCCCGTCAGGGTGCCCAGGGCGGGGATGGCGCCCCCCCCGAGACTTACGGGGAGCTGAGGGACGCCTCCGTTCTGGATGACGGAGATCTCGTTGTTCTTCACGGCCAGGCCGTTGGTGATGGCCGCGGCGTACTGGCTCCAGAAGCTGGGGTCCACGTTCATGGCCCGCGCCGCCAAGTCCTTCTGGAACATCTCCGAGAACTTGAGGGCGTCGCCTCCCAGCAGAGCCATGGGGTTCTCCACCGACAGGCGGCGGCCTCGCCGGGCCGGGGCGTTGTTCCACATGTGCGTGCCCATGTGCACCTGCGTGTGACGAGAGGGCGCTGAGCGGCGGGCCCAGCCTCCCGGGGCTCTGCGCTAGTCTGGGGACATGGCACTCAGGGGGGTGCTTCTGGACACCTTGCACTTAAGGCACAACACCCCTCTCTGGAGCACAGAGGCGGACCCGGAACACTCCCGCTGCTGAGCCCTTGGGCAGGCGGCCCCTGGGGCGGGCACACGGCCCCGGGATGCCCCAGGGTGGGAGGCCTCTCGGTCTCGAAACATCTGCCCTCTTCTCTGCTGGGAAGACCCTTGGGGCAGGCACGTCGGTGGCCGCCGAGGGCCTGTAGCTCCCAGGCTCCAGGAAGGAAACTGACCCCGAGGCCCCACAGGTGCTGTGCGGGGTAGGAAGGTGGCGCAGTCTACTGAGGGGGCGCGGGCCGGACGCCATGCTGCCCTGCAGGAGGGCCCAGTGCTGGTCTCCTGCGGACCTACTCTTTCCCCGCCCAGGCCGGTCTTCTCCCCAGTGCCCCAGCCCCGGCGTCGCTCCGCAAAGCAGTACAGGCATCCTGCATCGGCACCGTCCCGGGCAAGCTCTGGGAGCCGGCTCAGCTGGCCTCGGCATCTCCCCAGGTTCAGGGCCTCCCCCGGCAGCGCAGCGAGCTCATGGGGCCCAGGCCCGCCGGGGAGCCCACGGCCTGCCCGGGCCAAGAGCCTCACCACTGCCAGGGCATACGCACACCTGTGCACGCCCACCCCAAGGGGCACGCACGACCACACACAGCGGCACACGCCACACAGGCCAGGCACGCGTGCACACCACACACGCCCTGTGCAGGCCTGTGCCGGCGTCTCCCCTGGGCTCTCCACCCTGTGCCCTGGCCGCAGGCGCAGCCCTGCGTGCGTGTGTGCGTGTGGGGAGGGGGTGCTCCCGGCCGGCGGGGGGCGGGGGGCGGCCGGCTGGCCCTTCCTTACCTTGAGGTTGCCCTTGGTGGTGAAGGCCCTCCCGCAGATGGTGCAGCCGAACGGCTTCTCCCCGGTGTGGGTGCGCTCGTGGATCTGCAGGGCGCTGGCCGAGGAGAAGGTCTTCCCGCAGGACTGGCAGTTGTGCTGCTTGGGCGTCCGGCGCGGCGGGGGCGCCAGCATGGGCGCGAGGCTGGGGCTCAGCACGGCCTGGGGCCCGGCGGCCACCTGGACGCCGGCGGGCAGCGGGGGGCCCTCGCCCAGCGGGACGGCCTTGCTGTGCCCGTTTACCTCCATTTTGATCATGGCGGGTGCGGCGCTGGCGAGCAGGCTGGGGGAGCTGTGGCTGGGACCTAGAGCAAAGTCGGGGTCAAACAACGGGGAAGGCAGCGCTTGCAGTCTGTGCGTCAGCAAGTGCTGCTTCAGATTACCCGCCGTGGAGCACCCGCGCCCGCAGGCCGCGCAGACAAAGGGGCGCTCCTTGGTGTGGCTGCGCAGGTGGATCTCCAGCGCGCTCCGGCACGCGAAGGCCTTGCCACAGACACCACAGGCAGCGCGCGCGCACTTACCCCGATCCCGGCTCAGGAACAGCAGGCTAAAGGGGGCCTCCTCCTTGATGGCCGGCCGGCCGGGGTGAGCGGCCGTCAGGTCCAGCGCGCCTCCGTTCTCGGGGGCGGCGGGCGGGCTGTCGGGCCTCTCGGTCTTCAGCGGGACGTCCTGGGGCTCCTCCTGGGGGCCGAGGCCGGGGGACTTGGGGGGCAGGCTCTCGCTGTTGCTGTGCGCGGGGGACAGCGCCTGCATGGAGGATGACGACTCGGACAGGGCCGGGCTGCCCGCACTCCGGCTCTCCAGGTCGCCCACGGCCGACGAGGAGTCGTTGCTCAGCCGGTCGCTGTCCCCGGACCCGTTCTCCACCGACTTGAGGGCGGCCAGCTGTGGACAGCTCATGACCGAGTCGATCATCTTCATCTGGTTCTCCAGGGCAGCGATGCTGGAGATGACGGAGGGCGGCGAGGGCGGGCAGGAGCCCGCGTAGGAGACGAGCGGCCTGGCCGGGTCGCCGGCCGCGTCCTTCAGCTCCGGCTCCTCCTCCATGGAGTTCTCGTCCAGGTCGTCGTCGTAGCCGCTCAGGGCCTCGGCGGCCTTCTCGTCGAAGGGCAGCTCGGCGTCCAGGGCGTCCTGGAAGCCCTCGGGCAGGGGCGTGTTGGGGATCTGGCCGCCCATGTGCATGCGGATGTGCTGCTGCAGCACCACGGCGTTGGTGAACTTCTTCTGGCAGATGGGGCAGGAGTGCTGCACCCGCAGGGGCGGCTTGGCGCGGTGCACGCCGAAGTGTGTCTTCAGGTTGCCCTTGGTGGTGAAGGCGCGCCCGCAGATCTTGCACTTGAAGGGGCGCTCGCCCGTGTGCGTGCGGTAGTGCATCTTGAGGGCGCTCTGGCAGCTCAGCACGCGGCGGCAGATGACGCACTGGTTGGGGTCCGCCACCTTCTTGTCGATGTTCTCCACCAGCTGCTGCAGCTTCGAGGTTTCCGACGTTTGCATAGAGTCGAGCAGCCCCCCGAAGGGGAACTTGGCCTTGAACTGGTCGGAGCCCGCCGGGAGCACCGGGCTGCAGAGGCCCGTGGCCACGCTGCCGTCCGTCAGGGCCGGGGGGGCGGCGGGCACGCTGGATGCCTGGCCGCCCCCGGGCCCCTCCCCGGCCCCGGCCCGCGCGCAGGGCAGGCCCAGGGCCTCGGCTTTAGTCAGGGCAGCCCCGCTGAGCACGGGCTGCGGAGACTCCGAGGTCCCCGGGACGCCGGGCTCGGAGCTGTTGAGGCCGGGGGACAGAGAGGTGCAGTCGCTGGACGCGGGCGAAGGCCGCTGTGGGGAGCGGCTGGCAGGGGTGAGGCTGGGGGAGTCGGCGTAGCTGTTGACGCCAGGGACGGTGGGCGGGAGCTGCAGCCCCACCGACGTGGGCACGGTGGGCAGCACCGGCTTGCTGTCCAGCCAGGTGGTCACGGGCTTCTCGGGGGGCAGCGACATCCCGTAGGGGATCCCGGAGCAGGTGGGCACGTTGTCCAGGTACTCCGGGACGGGGTAGGGGTTCATCTGGATGTGGGGGTACTTCTCCTTGTGCCTCTGGAAGTGCACCTTGAGGTTGCCCTTGGTGGAGAAGCGGTTGCCGCAGATGTTGCACTTGAAGGGGCGCTCGCCGGTGTGCGAGCGCAGGTGGATCTGGAGGGCGCTGTCGCTGCCGAACACCTTGGCACAGAACCTGCACTTGTGCTTGAAGAAGGGGTCCTCGGCGCTGGCCTTGGGCTCGAACACCGACACGTTGGGGGGCTTGCCCTTGCGGTGCTTCATGAGGGCCGACAGCGGGTCCAGCGCGTTGGCCGTGGCCGCGATGCTGACCAGGGGGTTGGGGAAGATGACGCTGCTGGCGGAGGTCTGAGGTAGCAATGGGCCGGGCAGGGGCGCGGGCCCCAGCGCGGGGGGCGTGGACGCGCTCTGGGGGGGCGCGGCCGGGCCGGGGCCGCCGGGCGCGGGGGCGGGCGCCGTGGGGGCGCCGCCCGCGGCCGGGGGCGCGCAGGGCTCGGGGGGCCCGGCGGCGGGCGCGTGCGGGGTGCTGGCGCCCGACGCGGGCTGCGGCAGGTGCGGGGCGCCCTCGAAGGCGGGCGGGGCGGCGGGGCCGGGGGCGGCGGGGCCGGGGGGCGCCCCCGCGCCCAGCTGCAGCGCCGAGTGCGCCGCCAGCCCCTGCAGCTGGCTGGAGGCGGGCGCCGGCGCCCCGGCCGCGCCCCCGGGGTGCAGCGAGGGCCGCGGCGGCGCGCGCGTCATGAGGGCCACCTGGCTGCGGATCTGCTCGATGAGCTGCAGCTGGTGGATCTGCTGCTGCTGCAGCGCCATGAGCTGCTCCAGGATCATGGGGATGGCCACGGCGCCCGCCCCGCCGCCCGCCGCGCCGCCCGCCGCGCGCGCCTGCTGCGAGAACTGCGCCACGGCCACCTTGGTGCCCAGCAGCGTCTCCAGGGTCACGTTGGTGCTGGGCGCGCCGTAGGCCGCCGCGGCCGGGGGCTCGGCCAGCGCGGGCAGCGCGGGCGGCGCGGGCGGGGCCGCGGCCGGGGGCGCCGCGTCGGCCGGCGCGTCCACCTCCATGGGCGCGTCCTCCCGCGCGGCCCGCGCCTCGCCGCCCTCGCCCGCCCCGGGCGCGGCCCCGTCCTCGGCCGCCTCGCTGTCCGAGCGCTCGCCGGGCGAGCTGGCGGGCGACGGCTCGGGGCGCTCCTCGGCGCGCGGCGCCGGCTCATCCTCGCGCACGATGACCACGGGCGGGCTCTGCGCGCAGGTGCGCTTGTGCGCCACGAAGTCCGTCCACTGGAAGAACTCGGCGCAGCACTGGCCGCACACGCTGGTGTCCTCGCTGCCGCTGCGGCTCTCGGCGCCGCTGTCGCCGTCGTCCGCGCCGTCCCCGGGGCCGGCTGCAAAAGCCAAGACACTCGTGAGCGCGACCCGCGCCGCCGCGCGCGCAGGCGAGATCGATGCTTTTTATTCTGTACAAATCACCCGACTCCGGCGCCGCCCGCCCGCGCCCGGCCCGCCCGCGCTGGCTAATCATTTTCTTAGCACAATCCATCAAATTATGAGGCCCTATCCATGGTGGCTACCGCGGCTTAATGAAATTCCATAGAAGCCATTGATTTCCAATATTTTCATACAATCGCAGGGCCCTGTCTGCGGCGCGGAGCGCGGCCACCGGCTCATTAGGATTCCCCTTCGCCCGGCCCCTCATTTCCAGCGAAATCAGAGCCGCCTCTGCCAGCCCCTCACCACGCGGCTCATCTGCAACCTTCCGGCCCAGCCGCTGACCGCGGCCCGGCCAGCGCCGGCCACCCCCCATCACCCCCAGGCGTCCCCGGCCCCCGAACCCCCAAATCAATGGGCATTTACTCCACATGGGGAATTTCCGCTAAACACTTTCATTGCTAAGTGTAACGGAAACGCAGGGCGCCCTGCGCATGGCTTGGGGGTGCCCGGCGGCCGCCAGGCCCGCGTCTCCCTGCCTCCCTGCCAGCCAGCACCGGCCGCTCCGCGAGCCTCGCCAATACAGTCCGGGCGAAAATGAATCATGTTTAATACAATTAATTGGCTCTGTCACATGCAATATTTCTTGGCAAAATGAACCAAAATTATATGTTATTGTTATCAGCCAATAGAGTTCGGCGGTTTGTTAACAAACCAGAAATTATATATTTAAAGTTCATTTATGTTGACATGTTTAACATGAGAATGTTGTAGTCAGACACACTTTTTGTACCTATTTTCATCTATTCTCATACAAAGACTTAGCAAATTATATGCTTCTGCCGTGGTGGAAACCCTCTAATTGGTTACACATGTTTAATTACTGTTGTAGGAGCTACTTCCTGACTTCCCGAACCCTCTTGTGCCGAATAACAGCCGCGTTTAATGAACAATCCTAATTCACACCTGATCAAATAAATGGCTGCCCGGCTCGGGGGTCCGCGCTCCAGCGGCCCGCGCCGGCCTCCACGGTCGAGGCAGGCTGAGGCTCGTGGCCACGCGGCCCCGGCCTGCTTCCCGTCAGCCTGCGGGAGGGGTGACAGCTACAAATCAGCCTTCGGGGACATCCGCGTGGAGCCTGAGGACGAAACACCCGCAGGCCTGGGTCCCCGGAAGTCATTTACTGCGTTCCTTCGCCGAGGAGCCTCCTTTTTTTTTTTTTATTCTTTCAGGGTTTGGAAAAAGAACAATTTGGCACTGAGTTCAACAGAGAAATCTGGCTTCAAAAAAAATATCCTGTAAAAACATCAAGTCCCTAGGCTGGAAAAGAAAATAAAAATATTTTCCGAGGCCAGTCGGTGCTCCGTGAGGCCCCCACTGCCAGGTGATTTATACATGCCTTTAAAAAATTATTAGCAGTGTTCAGTTAGCATTTTCTTAACTGGCTAAACCATTGGAAGGGGAAAAGAAGTTACAGCCTGCAGCCCATAAAGAACTGCTAGACTTTTAAACTAAATTCAGCTCCGAAGATCAGGCTGCAAGGAGCCTCATTACTGTATGGGGGGGGGGGGTAATAGGTATCCGTAATGGGGTTGAGTGTGGCTGGGAGCAAGGGCGCCGCTGATTTACGCTGCAGATAGGCGCAGTAACAAAATAAATACTCAGAGCACTTAACTCTGCTCAGTGTATGCAAAATCTAATTTTAAACCTGCTAAGGTTATGGAACAGGGCAAAGAAAAAAAAAGCATAAGATCTCCAGGTAAATAATTTCTTAGCGATCAGTAAGAAATAGGGCTGTGTCATTCTAGTCGTGCATTTAAAGATGGCGCAGTGCAAAGAGCCTCTCTTTAAATCACCTTGCAACACAACGTTCGGTAGCCGCCCCGATTTCCAAACACGGCTAAAGGCCACCTAATCGGGTTTATCTGTGTTCAGCCATCAGGCTGGAGTCGGTGTCAGGAAACAGCAAAACTGTACACGAAATAACTGTTTAACTAGACCCCAGCGGAGTGGTTTTCCACTTCTTGCCAATGCCCAAAAGCCTGACTGTCCACAATTCTCCTAGATTTAAATATTTTAAACAAGAAAGCGCCCAAGAAACAAAATACTGTGAATGCCTGCCTTCAGCGCCTGAAGAAGATCAAGTGTGTAACTTCAATGATATACAAAGTATAAGCATTTAAAATTTTACACAATGACACCGTCTCTTGCTGCAGGGGCACCTTTTAAACACGGGGCTCGGGTTAGGGACGGCGAGGGCTTAAAAACTCAGGTGTTTTCTGGATCATTTCAAGGGCACGGCGTGTGGGGGAGACCGGCTCACCGGACTGCACACGTCCTGTGGTTACACGTGAGCCGCCCCGGTGGCTCGGGAGCGGGGCTGTGACTCGACTGTACTCTGGGCTTTTCCCAAAGGCCCAAGCGATCCAAACTAATCTCTCTTGACTTTAAAGATGACTTCTGCTTTTTGGCGCATTCGATGCTTTCAGGGTTTGCCTCCAGACCGGGGAGCTGGGGTGCCCCCAGGACGAACGCCTTCCCCTGTGGCAGGTCTGCAAACCCCAGCCACTCCTCAGGGGCAGCCTGTGCGTGGAGTACCGAGCCCTTCCTGCCAAGTGCCAGGCCATTCTGTTTAATACGATTGCATATGATGATCACCTGGACACAGCGAGGAGCGTCTTGTCGAAGTAAAATAACTTTCCGCTTACGTTCCTTTAAAACTGAATACGGAAATTGGGTGGCCGTGGCCGTGGCCGTGGGCCCACGTGGGCCGGCGCGGTTGTTCCGGTCAGGGACGGGCCAGGCTGGGTCTTACACACCGAGCTCCCAGGTGACCTTGCCTTTCCACTGAAACTACATGCAGCGAGGAAAGCGCTCGTCCGCGCGGCTCCGAGTTCTCACTCTGGCGCCCGCCTCTGGAATCCCCACCTCAGCATGCTGCCTGGGAGCCGGATGGCGCGCACTCGGCCACCACTTTGACCGCCTGATACCAGCGTGGCCTCGCCCCCGCTGCCTCCGATGAAGGCCATGTTCGTTAAGAGTCTTCACCGCAGTGAACAGAAATAAAAAGCGAACAGCTCGCTGGCGGGACGGGCTTCCGTGTGCACACCTCAGACCCGGGTGACTCTGCCCCGAGCCACAACAGGCTCCCGACCTAGGGCTCGGGGCGACGCCAGGGCCGGGGTCTCCAGGGCGGGCGCGGGCCGGGCAGGGGCGGCCCACAGTCTGGCCCGGCACTGACTCCTCAAGAACAGCTTCTACAACAAGAACCCCACCGGGACGGCATCTACATCCTGTCGTGGCCCCAAAGCCTCCCGAGCTGCCAGGGCGTGGGCGACAAGACATTTAGTCCAGGCCTGCTCGGCCATATTTACATCAGATTTACATTCTGAACTGAGTTTTGTGTCCTGGCATAGAACTCATCACGGCCCTTAGTCAATGCGCCGGCGGTTTTGTTTCGAGGGAAAACCATGCCAGGGCCGGGCAGCCAGGGCGCAGGGGAGACGCCCACGCATGTGGAGGCCCTGGGGGGCGCAGGCCTCCTGTCCCCACCCGGGGCTTTGCCTCCTGCACACCCATCTCTCAGCTAAGACTCCAGGTTGTGGAGAGGTGATGGGGAGTCGGGCCAGGGGGATGCCCACCGGGCCGGGGCCGTGTCGGGCCGAGCGAGACCCACGGGCAGGACCCCATGTGCTCCCCGAGGGCCGCGGCTGCCTGTGCGGCTCCCTGCACCCCGGGATAAGCCGCTCTGGGAGATGTCCAGTGGCCAGGGGAGACCAGTGTCAGGCCGTGGCCACACGGCTGTGCTGGGTTGCGGAACCCCCACACCTGAGGAGCAGTAGCTCTGGGAAGAGGGGGTGTGATTGGCTTAGGGTAGCCCCATAGCTGCTATTTATGCCGAGGCGTTCAGGGCGTCTGACTTGGTTCCGACACCCCAGCAGGCGCTGTGTGCTCGGGCCTGGGGGGCGGGGGCTGCCGCCTCTCAGGGCAGCCCTCACAGGACGGCGCAGCCACACTGGTCGGAAACGCGTGATTCTTGTCACCTCTCTGGGGGACGCAGGTCTCACCAAAAGGTCCCTGCTCTCCAGCTCAGCTGTCTGAGTGGGGGAGGCCCCCTCGGCCCCCCCCCCACAGCTGTGTGACCGCCCTCAGGCTCCACGGTCTGCAGAGGCTGGTCTGGCCTCCCAGGCAGGCGGCGGCCCAGGCCAGGTGAGCAGGCCCGAGACACCGGCGGCGCTTTCCCCGCCAGTTCAAACCGCGGTGCTCAGCAAGATTTTTAAATCCTCTTTCCAGGAGTCAGAGCCTGGTAAACAAGCGAGCCAACGACAGAGAAGTAACAAAGGGGTGTGTGACCCGACGCGGGGCTCGCCTGCCTCACCCTGCTCCGCGCTCCAGGTCTCCAATTCCTCACAATTAACAAAGGAGGCCGAGCTCCTGGGCCGGGCAGGGCAGCTGACTTCCCGCTTCAGTCAGAACTTCAAGATGCCACGTGGGTCTCTAGGAAAGGAAAAGCTGCTTTCCCTTGGCCTCACTGGCCCTTCAAAATCTAGAAAGCATTTTTCAAGTTTTCCTAAATTGCAAGGAGCCACTTATTTTCTTGCAAATTAATTCTTTTTAACTCCTTATGACAGCTCTGAATCCCATAAAGAAAGATGAATTATCACACACTGGGCCCGAGCTGTGAAGCAGGAGGAGACAAATCGAGGCCCCGCTGTGTTTAACAATGTAGAAGAAATTCCAGACACAGGAGAAAAACCGCGTCCCTTCCCCAGACCTCCAGCGCGCGGGAGCCGACGGTGGAGGGCACTCTTGCCACGCGGACGGCCGGGCCGTGCAGCCCAGCTCGGAGGCCGCAGCGGCGCTGGTTAAGTGCCGACCACCTGTGGCACCACCCCGGCGTCTTCGGTTGAAAACACGGGAAGCCCCGGGAGGAAAACAGCCTCTCCCCTGCGGACGAGGGCGGAGCTGCCCCCGCCCCCCGGCCCAGGAGCTCGGCCCGGGCCCCGCGGCAGGCTGCACACACCGGGCGCTGCCCCTCCGCTGTGCTGGGCTGTCCGGGCGCCGGGACAGGTGCAGCTCGAGTCGGCGCACACCTGGAGTGTCCCCTGCAAGGACCCGCCGCTGCCCGCCCAAGCTCAGTGAGGGGGCACGAGGCTTGTGTGGGGCCACTTCTGCTTAGGTTAGCATCCGGGTGGTTTAAACCCAGAGGCTGGGCCCCGCGGGCCTGGCGAGGGCCAGTGTGGTTTCAGCAGGACTCCCGGGAGTGCCGCCCGCCCCCCCGGCACCGGTCCCCCTGCTCCGCGACCACGCGGTGCAAGCCTAAGACAAGAAGCAAACCACCTAGACGAGCAAACACCTGGGCCTCGAAGGCCGAGGAGAGGGGCTCGGCGGCCGGTAAATCACCGTGTGGCCTGTCAGCGCCCGCCGCCCCGCTGCACTCCCGCGGGCAACCTTCACACTGGAGCAAACCCTGACCCACTGCCAAGGGTGGCCCTGCAGGGGCCGGGCCCAGCGTGCCGCGGCCACCGCGGCCCGAGGAGGCCACCGGGGAAGGGCCAGGCCGGGCGTCTCCGCACAGGGCCTCGGCACCCGCAGGGTTAACCACACAGCTCGGGAGCAGCAGCTGCACAAAAGAGAGCCCTTTTCCGGCTTCCTCAAGGACCAGAAACACGCGTGCCGCCGGTGGCCTGTGACGCGCGGGCAGCGCTCAGCATCGGGCCGGCACTTCACGCGTGAAGCAGCCGCCGCCAAGGTCAACAGCACAGATGCACTAATTGTATTATGAGCTTGACATCTAGCGGCCGCCCCTGGCAGGGCAAAGCAGGCAAAGGTTAAGTCAGCAGGGCTTGTCAAAGCCCTCCTAACTGCCACCGTCCGGAGAGCACTCGGGGCCGGCCCGCACCCCTTCCCGCAGCCCTTGGACAGGAAGGCCGCCCTGTGCTGGCCGGGGGCTCTCTGGGCTGCAGGGGGTGGGGGCCGAGGTGGTGAACACAGCGGTCTGGGGCGACCGCAGGGGAGGCTCCGAGACCAGGACGCCACACGCAGGCCTTGGAGGCCTGGGGCCAGCGGCTCGGCCTGGAGAAGCTCCCTCCAGCCAAGCAGCGAGCCAGCCTGGGCCGCTCACAGAAATGGAGCCATCGCATCGTTTTATTATCTCAATTACTAGTTCGCACTTCCTGCAACACCACCAGCCTTATTCGTCTGCTTGGAAATCACTGCGTTAACTGTGTTTTAAATCATAAAATGTGTCGAAACTACAAGAGAAAAACGTAAGCACAGGTTTTAAAATACAAATAAAAGTTCATTTAGAGTAACATTAAAACGTCGCTGCCTGCCTGGGTTGCACGTAGCCGGCTTTTATGTGCAACGTGAGCAGGCTGCCACAGGCCGGAGCCCCGGCGGCGGCGGCTCCCCGGCCGGCCCGCAGGCCTGGCCTCGCCCGCCCTGGCGGCTGGTCAAGGAAGCAAGTGGGAAAACAGAAAGTGACAGACAACAAAAGCTCTTCCGGTTATAAATATTATCAGAAATCGCCATTCCTGAGCGCGTCTCCCAGCGTTAGAAGATGGTGCCTGATCTCATTAGCAGTTCAGAAGAGCTTTGTTTTACTTCAACAGAAGCCCTTTGCCAACACCTCGGAGAGCCCCGCAGCCCAGGCCCCGACCCCCGCCGGCCCCCCGGGAGACGCCCCTGCAGCTACCTTGCGGTGAATGGGCAAGCTGCTTAGGGGCTGCAGTTGAAAAGGAAATCTGACCCACTTTTGCCTGCTTTTGCCATCATCTTGTATGCAGAAAATAATCAGCTTGCTTGCTAAGTAATTCCCGCTGCTGGCCCTCACCTTCCTCGCTTTCTGGTCTCAACAGATCTGAAAATATTGGGATTTTGTAAATATATTGGGGACGTTTAAGAGGTGCCCCCGCCCCCCCCTTTTGTTACACAAGGAGCTCTCTCTGGAAGGGGGGGACGGATTGGCAAGCTGTTTTGTTGGCCTCTGAAGGGTGCATTTTAAAATCGGTTAAGTTTCCTGAATGTTATTTTTTTCAATAAAGGTTGGGCAAGTCTCCTTTCCTTTCTTCCCCTGGTCACTCACTTTTCTACCTTTCAAGTTTCAGAGAAAGCAATCTTCCTCCGAATGCTAAAAAGTGGCTTCTGCATTGTTTCTTTTGGAATGCTGAATTGTAAAGTGGGGCGCAGGCACAGCACTCCAGGCGACCGTGCAGACACAGATAAAAGAAAAAAGATCTGCTGAGGGCTGGTGGCCTCCTTCCCCTTAATTTAAACTCCGCCTGCGAACACCACCGGTGAATTCTGAAATCACATGCCCGCCACATTGGGAAGGATCCGCGATCGCCATATGACTGCAAGTTGGCAGAAAATAAAAACGCACTTTGAAGCAATTAGTGCTCACAAACAAAATACAGGGTGGCAACTTGTTTTAAATCATAATATCCTTTTGTTCCTCCGTAAATACATACTTTCTCCCCGAGGAAGATGACCCGTGTCTTTGGTAAGTTGTTTTCCGTGCTAAAGGGTGGCAGGTGGCACCTCGGGGAGTCCTCCCGCGGGTCGGGGTGCTGCTCTCTGCCTCTGGGAGTTTAATTAATTTTTCTTAAAGCACCAACGTTCAGCTGGCGCGAGGGGCCCGAGACGGAGGCCTGCGCGCCCCTGGATCCGAAAGCTGCGTCCCATTTATTTCTAGATTTTCAGAAACAGGAATGAAATAATCTGCAATTTTCGAAGGCGACGTCTGCTGGGGCTGGGAGGCTCAGTCATCCTTAACACACACGTTTCCAACGGGAAAGCGCTACAACTTTCCACAAACCACCGTGACTTTCGCTCCTTCTAGAGGCACCGTCACCTTTCGCGCGCGGAGCCCGAGGCGGCGGCCTGAGCTTCTCTCCGGAGAAGCATCTCGCGGCTCGCTTCGGAAGCAAAGCCCGCGAAACCAGTCCCGGGCCCGGCCCTGCCGGTACCTCGCGGGGCCGCCCGCCGTCCGGGCCGCGCCCGCCTCCGCTCTCCGGGCGCCGCCGGCGTCTCCGCTGCAGCCTCGGCCGCTGGCACCGCCGCGCTGCCGGGTGCCCGGGCCGCTCGCCCCGCGGGGACGCCGCGGCCAGCTCACTTCGCTCCCGCCAACTTCGGGGTCCCTGTGCGTCTCTCCCCGCGCCCCGCGGGTCCTCCCTGCTCCGGCCTTGGCCGCGGAGGCCGCTCGCTCGCGGGTCCCTCGGCGCGCGGGAGCCGCTCCTGGCCGGGCGCGGCGGCTCCGGAGCCCTCGGCGCGGGCGCGGCTGCCCGGGAGCCCGGCCGGGCCGGCCTGTTGCAGACGCGCCGGCCCGGAGCCCCGCCGGCCCCGACCTCTCCCGGCCCGGCCCGGCCCGGCCCGGCCCCGCGCGCCCCGGGCCGCGACAAAGCCCGAAGTGTGGCACCGTTGCTCCTCGGCGGCCGCGGGAGCCGGGCTCGGGCGCTCGGAGCCCAGGACGCGCCGGGCGCCGCTCCCCGGGGCAGGGCCGAGCTCCGAGGCGGGCGTCTTTCTCCTCCGCACAACTGGGTCCATCCCCGGGTCTGTCCGCGGCCAGCGCGGGACGGAGCAGCCGAGTGTGAGGAATTCGCCCCGCCGGAGTAAACAAAACAAAAAAATCCATTTCCATGACAAAAAGGCTCTTTGTCCGGCGCCGCCACCATATGCGGCGCCCCGGGCGCGCCTCCCGCCCCGCCGGCCCGGCCCGCGCGGGGACCCTCGCCCGGGGACCCTCGCCCGGCGCGCAGCCCGACGGGCGCCGCTGCGCCCCGGCCGGCTCCCGGCCCCGCGCCGGCCCTCGCGCCCGGGACGCGGGTCCCGCCGCCCGCCCGGCCGCGGCCAAAAAGTTGGCGCGCGGGTCTCGCCGGGGGCCGGCCGCGCTCGGCGCCCCCGCCGCCCGCCCGCCCGCCCGGCCCCGCGGCCTCCCCGGGCGCCGGCTCCCCGCCGCGGGCAGCGCGCGGCTCCGGCCCGGCCCGGCCAGCGCCCGGCGCCGGGGAGGCCCGCGGAGGGTCGGCCGGGCCAGCGCGCCCGGCGCCCGCGAGAGGGGCCGCCCCGCGGCCGTGGCCCGCGGCCCCCGCGCCGCGCCGGGCGCACCCGGACAGCGGGGCCGCCGCGGGGCGCACACTCGTCCCGGGCGTCCCGGGGCCCGGCCGGCGGCCCCGCTGCCTGCGCCGCGCCGGGGGCCGAACAAAGCTGCCCCGCGGCGGCCTCCGGCCCGGTCCGCGCGGGCCGCCCGGCGCGCCCCCGCCCGCGGCCCCCGGGACGGGGCCGGCCCTGGCGCGCGGGGCGCGGAGCCCGGGGGGCGGCGCGGAGGCGGCGGCCCGAGCCCTCCCGCCCGCGCCCGCCGCGCGGCCCCCGGCCCGGCCCGAGCCCGCCCGCCCCGGCGCCGGCCCCGCTCCCGCGGCCGCGCCAAGTTCACTTCGCCAAGTCGCCGCCGCCGCGCGCTCGGGCGGGACGCGGCGCCCGGCCCGGAACCCGCCCCCGCCCGCCGCCCGCCCGCCCGCCCGCGGCCCCTCACCGTGGTCCGGAGCCCCGTCCGGCGGCGGCGGCTCCTCGTCCGAGCGCAGGTGCTGGGGCTTGGCCTGCTTGCGCCGGGACATGCTGCTAGCGGCGCGCGGGGCCCGCGCGGGGCGGCGGCATCAGCGGGGCCGGCGGGGCCGGCGCGGGGCGCGGGGCGCGGGGCGGCGGCGGCTGCGCGGGCCGCGCATGGGGCCGGCAATTAGGCGGGCGGGCGGCGCGCGGCCCTGAGCCCGGCCGCGCCGATTGGCCGCGCTCCAGCCGCGGCCTATGCAAATGAGCCGCGCGCAATTAGCGGCCGGGCTGGAGGGGCCGGGCCGGACCCCGCGCTGCCCGGCGCCGCCTCACATCGCGGCGCCCGCCCGCCCGCCCGCCCGCCCGCCCGGCTCGGCTCGGCTCGGCGGCCCGCGAGGCCGGCGGCGGCAAAGTTTGGCGGCTGCGCGCGGCTGTGTCCCCGGCGCCGCGCGCCCCTTTATAGAGCGTCGGCGCCGCCGCCCGCGCCCCGCGCCCCCCCGCCGCCGGCGCCCCTCCCGGGGCGGAGGGCCGGGCGGGCTCCGGCCGCGCCTTTGTCTCCCGGCCCGCTCGGGCGCCGCGCTCCGGGGCGCGCGGGGCCGCCGGCGCCTCCCTCCGCCTCCCTCCGCGGCGGCCGGGCGCGCCGGCCCCGGCTCAGGTGCGCGGCCCGCGGGTCCCCGGCTCGTCCCGCGCGGCGCCGCCCGGAGCCCGCAGCGGCCGGGGCGGAGCGGAGCGGAGCGCGCGGAGCCGGGTGCGCACGCCGGGCGGCGAGACTTCGGCAAGAGCAACTTTCCGGTTCGGAAGCGGCGCGGGCCGCGGCTCCTCCCCTCCCTCCCTCCCCCCTCCCCCCCCCGCCCCCCCGCCCCCCCCCCCCCGGCCCGCCGCCGCCGCAGCGCCCGCCCCCCCGGCCGCCCGCCCGCCGGGCCTCCCGCCGCCCGCAGGTCCCGGGAGGGGCGGGGACGCGGGCCGGGGCCTCCGAGCGCGCCCCGGGTGGGCGCCGGGCCGGGCCGAGGCCGCGCGGCCGCAAGTTCCGAGTGCGCGGCCGCCGGGCGCCCGCGGCGGGCGAGCCCCGGGGAGGGAGGCGGGGCGGGCGGAGGGTCTCGCGCGGCGGGCCCGCCCGGCACCCGCGGGCGCCGCGTTCCCCGCGCGCGCGCCCCTCGCCGCGGCCGCACGCACGCGCCTCGCCCTCGCGCGCGCCCCGCGCCCGCGCCCGCCCCGCGAGCTCCCCGCCCGCGCGCCCGCCGGCCCCGCCGGCCGCGGGGTGGGCCCCGGGCCGCGCCCGCACCCCGCGCCCCGCGCCCCGCGCCCGGGGAGACGCGCCGGTGCCTAAGTGTCCGCGCCGGGGCCTCGCGAGTGGCCCTGCTGGGCACGGAGCTCGGGCGCGGACGGCCGCCCGCGCTCCCCGGGGCCGCTCGCCGGGGAAGGCGGGCGGCGAGCAGCCGGCCCCGCGCCCGCTGCGCCCCGAGCGACCGGCGGGCCCGGGGTGGGGCGGCGCGGGCCCGGGGGCCCCCGGGACGGGACAGCGGCCCCGCGATCGCCCGCCGCTCCGTGGGCTGTTTTCTCGTTCTCGAACCTTCCCGCTGCCCAGCGGCGCCTCCCGCCGCGCGTCGCCGTGTAAGTTTCCGACGCTGTTGCTCGGGCCCGGCGCAGGAACCGGGCTCCGGGCGGGGCTTCCTCGGCCGCCCCCGCCCCGGCCCCCGCCCCGGGGCCGGCTCCCCCTTCGGTTTTGTTATCGGAAAGAAAAGTGACAAATAAAGGCCGTGGGAAATGGAAGTTGCGCGCACGCGGCGGCGCTTCCGAGGCGAGATACCTGCGGGCCGCGCCGCACCTGGGCCCGCGCCGCGCCCCGGGGGCGCCCCGGCCCGGCCCTGCCCGGCGCGGGGGGAGGGAGCAGCGGGGCCTGGGGCGCGGGCCGGAGGCCCGTCCCGGGAAGGGGCCGCGGGGCGCGCGGGGCGAGGGCCCGCCGGGGGGTGGGGGGGCGCGGGCGCCGAGTGGGGCGCGGGGCGCCGGCGGGGGGCGGCCGTCGGGGCGCGTCAGCCGAGCGAGGGCGCAGACCGGCCGCCGCTGGGCCGCGCCCGGCTAAGGCGCGCCGTCCGCGTGGCCCGGCTCTGCCCCCGATCTCCCCGAGGTGGGCCCCGGGGGCGGGCGCCGCGGGAGCTCCTGAGGACTCGGCCCGCCCCGCGGCTGCTCGCCGGGCCACGCGGCGCCGCGTCGGTGAGAGGCCGCCCGGGCCGCCCCCTGCCCGCGCTCTGCCCGCGACCCGGCTCGTGGCCCTCGGTCCTTCTGCCGCGGCCGAAGCCCGGCCTCCCGCCTCGGACGCGCCGGCGCTCGCGGCCAGGCGTGGCGCGGGCAGGGCCTGCGGGCCCGGGCCACTCTCTCCAGAGCGGGAGCCGCGCGCCGAGGCGCCGCCGTCCTGGCGCCCGGGGGCGGGCCGGGCCGCGGGTGGGGGGCGCGGGGGCCGGCCGCGCACGGCGGGGGCTCGCGGGCCGGCCTGGGGCGCGGCCGCCGAGCGTGGGGGACACCGCGGCCGGGCCGGCGCCGCGCGGAGGGCGCAGAGGTCGCGGCTCCACGGCTCCCTCGGCCGGGATGTGCCGGGAATTCGTTGGGTAAAATCGAGCAGACCTGGGCCGAGGGCCGGGACGCTGACCCCACAGCCCCGGCTGCTGCAGCGAAGCGGTCCCGCGGAGCCCCTCTTAGAAACCGGGGCAAACGAGCAACGCAAGCGCTCCCGGTGGAGACAGAAGACAGGGTCCCCCGGGCCACCTGTGCGCCCTTCTTCCCGCCTCCCCCAGCCCTGGAACTTTTCTTCAATTGTTTTTATTCAGCGCGGCAAGTTTTAAGGAAGGCGTCGTCTGGGTCCCCGCAGGAGCTTCCCCGCGAGGCGGCAGCGTCGAAGGAGCTTCTCCCCCAGGAGGGCCGGGGTCCCCGGGCCGGGCCGGGCCGGGCCGGGCCGGGCCGGCGCACGTGGCGCGCACACGGGCTGTCACATGACCGCGTCCACTGGAACGTGCGATACCTACGCGGGGCTGCCAGAGCAAAAGTTGCCTCTCCCCTGTAATTAAATCTAATGTGTGAATTGTCTTCCCTCTCGCGATGTTGTCTTCATCTTAAAAGGCGACACGTTATTATTTTGTCTGCTTAATAATATTATTTACAAATTAATACTGTATATTTTACATTAGTGGAACGTATAATTAGGGGTTTGATCTAATTTGTATCATTTATTCAGATAGAACCGAAAGCCTATCTGCAAGATTGATTTGACACGGCGAGGTGGAAGACTTGCTTCTCTTTAAGGTCCCGGGTTTACCAGGCTCCTGTCTCTGGGGACGCCACGCAGGTTGCAAAGGTGCATCTGACACTTGGTTTCGGGGGGTGAGCAGTTCCCCAGCCACGTCACACCAAAGGGATATTGAAATATGAGCGTTTTATTTCCCTCCTCTCATTCTGCACCCCCCAAGTTCCTTTCTTCTGGGGGCCTCTCTCCCCGCTCGGCTCCTCCCCCAGCCCAACTTTTGTTTTTAGGACCTTCCGGTTAGCCCCTGCGTGGTCCTGGGTCTTCTGCGCTGTGACAAGTGACCGCTAATTGGTTCTCACTTGAGCAGAGATATTACCATACTAATATTATTATTGGTAAGAAGAGGTAATTGATAGCGCCACCTGCCACTCTGGGGCAATCACGATGATAAATGTTTCCATCAACAGGAAATCTGCGCTTGGCGCTCCACAGCCCAACGCAAACAGCATGTCAAGTGCCAATTATAAAGATGTTGCTTTGCTATTACATTTGGGGGCGCTAGGAAACGTGGAGCCAAAAATTATATTTATGGTTTTTAAAAAAGCTTTTTCCAGCTTCTTGTTCACCCACTTTAAGATGATTTCCCCCCAAAATAAAATCCCCTATCTACATAAACCGACACAAAGCTCTGCGCCCCGCCCACACCCCTCGCACTCCTGCTGTCACCCCCCTTGCCTTCAGAGCTATTGAGATAAATGTCTGACTGTTTTCCGTAGGTGGGAGCGGGCCCCGCAGCCGGCCGTGTGGTCTGTGTGCCGCAGAGTCCCGTGGCCTGGCTGGGCGGCCCCACCCGGTGGGCACTGTGGCCCACGGCCCAGCTCTCCATGCCGCGCAGAGGACTGCCCCCCACCAGCACCCGTCTTCACACTTGGGGCGCAAAGGGTGCTGAAGTGCACATCTGGGCTGGAGTGAGCCGGCCGGCTGGCTGCGGCGGGTGTGATCCCATAAATAACGCTGGCCAGCTGAAACTTTGACTCTGTTGCCCACAGGGAGGCTCAAACGATTATTATTAGCTTGCATTAATAGATGCAGGCCTCGAAAGGCGGGATCAGCTATTGATAATTGCAAGAAGTATACAGCAGCTACTGTATCGATCGGCTTGTCCCTATTCCCCTGGTATGGGAGAGATAAGAAGACTCACTCTTTAGTGCAATATAATTTCTTTTGACCTATCTGCTTGCTACAGACTTATGATGAATAGCCGGAGTGGTTAAAGTCCTTTATCACGAAAGTTACCCCTTGATATAATATTGATTCTTTATAACTAGCTCCAAACACAAAAATCAAACTGTCCACTTGACCATCATCATCATCAATATCATCACAAAGCCTGTGGAATAAAGATCAGCCCGGCCCGGGAGCGCTCTCCATAATCTCCCGGCTAATCTTTATTCGCCGATGATGAAAAGGCGGCGGCGGGCGCGGGGCGCGTTCGGAGGAGCGCACATCCCCGCGCGCGCGCCCCGGGCGGCCGCGGCCTCCCCGCGCCGCCCCCGGCCTCCCCGCGCCGCCCCCGGCCTCCCCGCCGCGCCGCGCGCCCCCCCGCGCGCCCCGCGCCCCCGCGCCCCCCCGCGCGCCCCGCGCGCCCCGCGCCCCCCGCGCGCCCCGGGGCGTCGGGGGCTGAGCGGCCGGGCGGGGACGGCGGGCCCGGGGCGCCGGCGTTGGAGGCGGGAGGCCGCGGGCCGCGGCGGGCGGGGGCGCAGGGGGGGCTCCCCGCGGAGGGCCGCGCGGCCGGGAGGCCACATCAAAGGCGCCCGGCGGCCCGAGCTGTTC